CTCTTAATTGGTATTTAAGGACTTCGTCAGTCCTTATGGGCATATATTCATGCCTTTCCACAATAGGTTTCACATGACAAAATACATAATCTGGTCGCAAGAGCAAAAATTCCATTTTTGAAAATGAGAGATGTTACTCTTCCAAATAGTGCAATATAGAAGGGAGAGATGAAGTGTGAAAACTGAACTTGTTGGGCCTTCTCTGAAACTTGGCAGAAGGCAGGGATGAGTGAAAGGGAGGTGAGCAACAGGTGGGAGACAGACTCTAAGCAGAGGCAGCAAGGTTGCCGATCTGGAAAAACTCATAGTGTGTTTCATTATTCAACATGGATGTCACACATGCACTATGTTGCACCGTCTCTCCTTTTTCTATCCCAAATCAGTAAGAGAACTCTAGGTACACAGGAATATATGAGGTCAATGTGGCAAGCTTCTCACTATCATTAGAGATCATGAAATAGACTTGACTGTCTTCCTATCCTTTGAGTCTCAGTGTGTTGGAAAGAAATGAATTGCTTTTTGGCATGCCACGGCAGTTTCTGACTGTGGGTCTGGCTCCGAGTGTCTGGAAGAAAGCGTTCATTTTTGTTTGATTCATTTCAGAGAGAAGTTCTGAAGAACTCTCTTATTTAAGAACCAACAAATATGATAGAATATGTGCTTTGGTTCAAAAAGTCAAATTTTTACATTCGTCTAAGGATCATGAAGAAATAATTCGATTACAGAATGTTGGCAATAAACACAAGAGTTTAAATAAAGCTATTATAAGCATATGGATTGAGCAGAAAATAAAAGGGGCAAATTGGGCGAAGCTTCATACATGTTTGATAAACTCATAATTAATTTCTTTACGAATCCAGTTAAAAAATTCAGCCCATAAAAACCAACAAATTATTTTTTATCAGAGTGAAAGTAAGGACAAAAGACTACCGAGGTTCAAAATATCAAGAAAACTGACGTTTCTACAGCGGTGACATTAGTAAAATATAATCACCATAACTGTTGGCGATGCAAGCCAGCATTCACATGACCTCCTTTCATATTGGAAAGCAAAGAATTGCAGTGATTTTTTCCTTTCCTAATCGATGGTTGCCACCTGCATTGAACAACCGTGTACTGAGCATCTAGTACAACTCTGTACTACTATGTGGTTCTAGACCGCAGAGAGTCTGATGTGGAAAGAGCTCATTGGAGGGCTTTCTTTTTCTTCCTTTGGAAATCATTTAGGGAGATAACCATGCTCCTTGGCTACGGGGGTTATTTGTTGGGGACAAAGTCTTATTTTTCCCTTTTATCCCTGATACCACTCTCATTCTCAGACTGTTCTTTCTACTTCCTCTTAAGTCAGTTCTCGCTCTTTTGAGTTTGATATGTGCCTTTGAACTGATACATATCTTGAAATATATGTGGTAATGTTTAGTGTATTTTTTCATTTTCATAAGTGATATTTTGCCATAGACCACTTTGTATTTCTTCTTTACAAAAGATCTCTACAGGTTGTCATGTGTATTTAGTTTGTTGCCTGTACTGCTGCAAAGTGACTTCATAGTGTGCATGCACCTCACTACATTTTATCTAACCATTCTGCTAGGGACAGGCACCCAGTGTGCATTCACCTTTGCACTTACATGAACCATGTGACTGACAGGAATAGCCTCATGCATGTTCCCTTGTGGACATGAGCAAGAATTTTGGGGGATGATCATGCAGGAGTGGAATTGCTGAATCATAGGCATGTGTAAGACTATGGATGAAATCTTTTTAAGTTTCTGCACAGTTTGGGTTTTCTGAGCAAATTTTACAGCAACTTGAAACCTGGGTTAGAAGAACAAGCTTTAGAAGTTAGTTTATAGGGCTAATTAGAAAGTGAGAGACCATCTAGAGAGATTTCTCTTCCTGGAAGTTATGTGTTTATTTTTCAAGGTAGGGATGAGACCTAAGATTTGGAAGTATCCCTGGGCTGTCAGCTGGAGACACAGTCTCATCTGCCTTCTGGAGAGATTTATTTACATACCAAAGGGTAAGAGTAGGAAACCAGGGTCCTTCTCAAGGAGCAAAGATTTGTCTCTCCTTTCAAATGAGAGGGAGCAGCTGTCCTTCCCCTATTTAAATATCTAGATTCATATTTTCAGGGTTCCTTAACTACAGAACAGACCCTTGCATGTGTACAATGATGTCTGCTTCTCATTGTGTTGCCTTAGGCAACTGAAGCAAAGGGAAACTGGTGAGGTTATTTGCTGTCAATAATAATAACCCACTCTGCTCCAGAAATCTTGCTTTCATGAGATATTAAAAATTTAACATTATGAATATCCTTAACTTCACCAGGTTCTGATAAATTGCTTTCCAAAATGGCTGTCTAATTTATATTCCCACAAGCACAGTATGAAGAATTCCTTTTCCACATCACAACGGAAGGCCTATCCAGGCTCTGAAGCTTCTGGAAGAACTACCACCCAACCACCCTTTCCCATGTCTGAAGCAGGCCATTCTTTGGGTGACTACAGACATATCGGCCTGATTGCATCAGGGGCTTGCAACAGTCTCCAGCGACTTCTTAAACTGTTGCTTCTTAAACCGTGGGAAAAATCAACCACACTTCTGTAGAAACCATTGTAGTTTTCTCCATCTTTATCGCTGTCATGAGAAGCATTCCAGGTTTTGAGAATCAGACCACTCTTTTTAGGTACAATGATTTTAATACATTAGTGCATACCAACATTTGGCCAGGGTCTAGTTTTACTTTAAGAACTGTTATTTTGTTGACGTTTTTACTACTTGGAGCAGTTACAGAGGTGATCAAACTGACTCTACAGCAGTAAGCACTTGTGCAGTAATAGTGATCAAGGCAGAAGTAGTAAGTTGAACTATCCCTCAGTAGAGAAATAGATAAAGTGAACTATGATCTATTTACACAATGGAAAAATTTCCAGACGCTAAAACGAATGCACTAACTCTACGTGTATGAACAGCTATTTTTTAAAAAGATAATGTTAAGCACAGAAAGCATATTGCAAAAGATACATAAAATATGATAACACATACGTAAAATTTTTAAACAACAGTACAAAAACATTCATGGAAATAATACACACCAACCTTGAGGAAGTATTAGCAACAGTTTCTTTTCGTAAAGAGAGATATTTATAGTAAATATGGAAGAAATACAAGCATCTCTTCTATCTTGTGGTGGAAACAGGAATCATCTTTCTGTGCTTTTCTGAATTTATGGGCTATTTCATAATTTAATCAAAAATAAAAATGAGGCAGAGAACACAGTTCAGTGAAGCAAAGGGACAGGCAGGGGTTAGTCTCTTTGGGGGCTTCTTTGTAGAGGAGTCCCATTATTTTGCCTGTGTGAGGCTGGCTTTGGGGTGAAAGTCATTAAAGGACCATGTCTTTCTCTGATTTTTGTACATATTCCTGTTTGGGGCCAGGGGAGCTCCATATTAAGGCTTCTTTTAATCTAGGTCTTCAAACTGGGAGACAAAGAGATAAGCATGAAATGCGAAGTGTTTAAAATATGTTCTATTATTTTGTTTTGGAAAACAAAACAAGCCAAAATAAAGCATGCTGATACCAAGTTTTATTTTAGGGAAGTGTTACAGAATGGGTTAAATGACAGAAGTGACACTTAGAAATAAGACTTTTTTTCTGCAGAGTGGTATGGCGTAAAGAAGTCAGGTTTCAGAGCCAGAGGATCTGAGTTTGCGCCCTGCTACTGTCGTTCACTAGCAGTTCTCAGGAAATACCTTAATTTCTCAGTGCTTTCAATGCACTCCTCAATCTGTAAAATGACAGCAATCCCTAAGCTGTCTCCTTCAGAGAGTTTTTGCTGCAAATCTATTCATGGATAATTATACTAACTGTAGAGAAATAATACAAAGTAGTGATAATGGTGATGATTTGAACAAAACAAAATAAGAAGCTCCTTTTTATGAATATAAAATGTAGTGCTTCTTTTTTTTTGTCTCAGCTAGATAAATATGTAAGACTTTCTGAAATGAATGACTTGTTTAAGAAACACTGATGTTAGGTGCCTAAGAAACATATTTCATTTCTAAAAGCAAGTAACATATTATCTGTCTGTTTTTGTTAGTTTGTTGTCAAACCTAGGAATATTGGATGTAATGAGATGCAAACATAGCAGGATTTAATGTAACGTGAACATTTGAAAGGGGAATAATGACATGTGCATGGTTGATGGGGCCATAATGAGATGTACAAATAGAAATGCACATAGAAATGTGCATGGGTAATGGTGTAATGAGATGCATAAATGGATGGGTGTAATGATAAAAGCATTTAGGGGGGATGTAATGTGATTTATAAATGGAAGCATAAAATAAGGAGGGTAGAAAGGGCAGGTTGTGATAAGAGCAGAGAGAGAGAATGCAGTGCTATGCATGCATGGTGGAGCTAATAATATGTACATGATGAGGATGTAATGAGATAAAAATGGAATGGCATAATGAGGTTCACAGATGGAAGGACATAATGAGCTGTGCAGAAAGGAGGGAATAATGACAAGCATAAAAGGAAGGATTTAATACTATGAATAAAGAAATGGGCATAAGAAGATGTGAGGACTGAAAGGAGGAGCAGGAAGAAAGAGATGTTGGTGAAGGAATGGGAAGTAACAAGGTGGGCAAATGGATCACTCTAATGAGATGCCGAAATTAAAGGGTGCAATGAGGTGTGCCCATTTAGGGGCTAATTAGACACACACATGAGATTATAATAAGGTACCTGGGTCCTGATAAGACACATACCATTGTATTCATTCAGTTCTTACTAAGGAGGTGAAAATGGAAAAACTTTAGAGCAGAGCCACAGAGATACCTAAATTGTTACAAATCCGGAAAAGAGAAAACTAAACAGGTACTTTAACCAGAGCCTCGAAATTTATGAATAGTTTTATTGGTGCTGTTTGGGACACTTACTCCATGCCAAGTACTCTGCTGGGTATTTAAATGTATCATCTCTTTTATCCTTCCTAGCAACCCTATAGGGCAGATGGATTAGTTCCTAGTTTATAGATGAAGAAATGGAGCTACAGTGAGGTCAACCGGCTTTTGCCCAGATTCCCAGAACACATTGGTGGTGGAGATGTAACTCAAGCCAAGTCGACTGGATCCAGCTGCCTTTGCCTCTCTTCTGATGTTTCTGTGAGTACTCTCTGACACCCCCTGCCACAGAATCACGTGATCGCTTGTCAAAGATGCAGAGTCCCAGGCCTACCCCAGCAAGTACCATTTGCAAAATTCACGGAAGCCCCGGAAACTTGCATTTAAACAAGCTCTCCAGTGACTGCTGCATGTGCTAAGGTCTGGGAACTACTCAGCCAGACCAGCACTAGAGTTAGGGGCTGTTCTAAGGCTTCTCATTAGTTTTAGTGAATGATCATGAAGAAATGAACAGTTTGGGTTGGCTACAAGAGGAACTGAACAATTAATCTGAGACCCTGGAATGAGGAATCAAATGATTCTGTGGACTGCATTTAACAGAGGACTTTTCGAAAAGGCCCCTTTCCCTCAGACTGGTCTTCAACAGGAACCCAGAATGATATCAAAAATTCTATAAAATGCAAAAATGTATAGAAAATAATTAGACTCTAGGAAATGTGTATTTACCGATTTCAAAAAAGTAAAGATCACTCCATAGTCTATAAACCCTAAGGGAAAGAAGATAATATATCCTTAGAACTCAAAGTTGGCTGACCTACATGCAACTTTCAGAGTTCTAAAAATAAAAGCAAATAGTGCCACTGTTCTCTTTCTTGATAAGTCTAGTATTGAGATATTTAAGTTGCTATAATTTTTTAGATGAAAAACCCAGAATTTATATTCTGAAATGAATGTTAAACTTGAATTTTAGTGATATAGCCTCTGCTCAAAACATTTTTAGAAGTTTCTTTTGAAATTGTTTTTAGAATATATCCATGAGCCACACAGGAACAAGTTTCATTACTTTAGTGAAACCCAGCTTTTAACTAGGAAAACTATTATTCAGTTGGAGAAGACATATATTATGTCTTTTTTTTTAAAGTTTATTGGGGTAACATTAGTTAATACAATTATATAATTTCGGGTGTACATTGTAATTTGACATCTATATATTCTACTGTGTGAACACCACCAGAGTCCAGTTTCCTTCAGCTACCATATACTTGATCTCCTTTACCCACTTCACCCTCCCCTAACCCCCTATATTTGACCGCCTTTACCCTATCTACCTCTTCCCTTCTTCCCCACCCCCACCCTCTGGTAACTACTAGTCCATTGTCCGTGTCCCTGAGTCCCTGTTTGTCCTGTTCATTTGTTTATTTTAGGTTTATATCCCACATATGAGTGATATCATGTGATTTTCAACTTTTTCAGTCTGGCTTATTTCACTTAGCATGATTATCTTGAGGTCCATCCAGGTTGTCGCAAATGGCAGTATTTCATCTCTTCTATGGCTGAGTAATATTCCATTGTATATATGTACCACACCTTCTTTATCCAATCATCTATCATAGGACACTTTGGTTGCTTCCATGTCCCAACCACTGTGAATAATGCTGCTATGAACATCGGTGTGCAAATATCTTTTCTGATATGGGTTTTCAAGTCTTTGGGGTAAATACCCAGTAGAAGGATTGCTGGATCATATGGTAGATCAGTTCTTAGTTTTCTGAGGAACCTCCATACTGTTTTCCATAGCGGCTGTACCAGTATTGTATCTCATAACATCCCTGCACAATGGGTACTAGTATTTTCTGCACTGTGCAGGTAAAGAAGATGAGGCTGAGAGAATTAAATAAAAGAATTGGTAAGTGGAAGAGCCAGGATTCAGACCCAGATTGTGAACTTCTAAGGACTACACTTTCACTTTGCTTGAAAAGAGGTGCTGTTTATGCTAATAGTTTAGTGCCCAGCGTTTGTAAGTATTCACACAATATTCATCATTGCACCAAGGGAAAAAGAAAAAAGATTTTGTTCATGCACTGATTATTTAAGAAAAGAACCTAAACCACTATTGGATTAGAATAGACATTTCAGAGGTACTGCATACCTCTGTCCCCCTAGGAATAGAGTTATTTCGTTAACTATTTTCAAAAGTTTTTTTTTTTTTTTTTAATTTCCTTGACTGATGCAGAACATCTGGTTGACTGCGAAGGAATGTTCACTACAGTAGTAAAATTGACATGCTTCATTATAGGACAGTTTAGTTTGTGTAACATAAAGGAAATATAATACATATGATAAACCAAGATTTAAATAAACCAAGAAAATATTTCTTATTCTAATTTTCATTTCTTTATAAAAGCTGTGTATAACATAAATACAGTATATGATAATGGTGGTTAGGAGATATTAACAATGTGTATCAATTAGACAAGTATAAGGGCAATACTTTCTAATTATTTAATAGTAAATGTAACTGTCACTTAGATTCAATGTGTTTACAAAATCATGTGCAATCACTCGATATAATGAGTTGTGTGTATGGAATTAAATGTAGGGTCCCGTAGATTGTTATAATGTATAGTTCTTAAGGGAAAAAATGAATCCAAATAAATGTAGAGACATTATTTAGGGAGGCAACATTTAGAATTTGGCTGGACTTCCAAACTCAGTGGTCCCAAGGCATTTATAAAAGTCATGCTTGTAAAAGTCTCCAGAAGACATGTCAGTTCTCAAGGACTCTTTACCTTTGAGCCTTTCCTCTTACCTTAATTATGTTAATCCCAGAGGAACTATTACATGGTTATGATGGAGGAGTGCAAGCCCACTGATAATACATAAACAGAGATAAAAATTCATCTCGTGCAAAAGTTTATACTCTCCCAGTGCTACCTAGCATTGCAAGCCTTACGCACAGAGCCTGATGTAAGCGCGGCGGTGGTCACAGTTAGCCTCGCTCTCCTTGCTCCGTGCAAGCCTTACGCACAGAGCCTGATGTAAGCGCGGTGGTCACAATTAGCCTCGCTCTCCTTGCTCCATTGTCTGTCTGCCTTAGCCTTGGCCAGCAGTGTGACCAAGGAGCCTGTGTCCTTGTTTCCAAGGGGAATAGCAGCGCATGTGTTGGGTCCAGGAGGAGAAGCAGAGGGCTCTTGTGAAGAGAGGCTCAGCACAAATCCATCATCTTCTTCTTTCAGAAAATAACTTTGTTTTTTTTCTGGGCTCTAAAGACCATATTTCTATTTCTCAAATCAGGTTTTCTAAGTGTAGACTCTTCTCCTTCAGCATTTTAAATCTTTTCTTTTGGTCTGCATCTTTACTCTCTATCTTTTCAAACACATATCTCCCTTACTTTGAAAACTCACTATTTCATTATCACTTAACGAAAAAAAAAAAAAAAAAAAAAGAAAAAGCCCATTTTAGCACTTGAACAGCTGATCACTGCTGGATAAAACCGTATTTCCATTTTACTTGAAATCTGTCATCTCAGATCCCAAATGAATATTCCTTATTGCCTGACGGCCCTGCTATATTTCTCCAGTAAGTTCACGGCTCCTTTCACTGAGAATTTAATTTCAGACTTTCTCTTTCCTCAAACCTCCCACATTCCATTCCTTCTTTCCCCAGCCCATTCTCAGCTGATGGCCTCACCTCTTATTTCACTGAAACAGTTAAAATACTATCAAAAAGAACTTACTCATCTTTCCACCGTCAAATCTGAGTCTGCATGCAATGACTTTTCCTCTTATCTGCTTATCGTTCTCACTCTCTCTGTTGCCATCTATTGTTCTGGGGGCTTCGGTGTTAAACCATCCCCATACTCCCTCCATTACCAACCCATTCGGCACCAAACGTTCACAAGAGCTGTCTGCATACGTCACATCTCCTTCCTCATTCTTTCCTTCACATTTCCTCACCTACTCCTGGTTGAACCTTAACCTTAAAACTGCTCTTTCCACCTTGCCCAAATGATGGACTCCTTTCTGTACTACCTTCCTTGATCTGGCTGCCCATCCACTTCTCTCTTTTTCTTGGACATTATCTTAAGATCTGTCACTTCTACATTTTCTGGGTTTCTTTTGTCTCTTGGCTGCTCTCTGGATTCGATCCTGACCTGAGTCCGTTTCCTCTCTGTAATCTTCCCAAGGCATTCATCATCTCTGTGCCGATGATGCCCTCATTTATAAACGGCTTCACATTTGCCTGCTAGAACATCTCACAGGCATTTTACACTTAAGATGTTCAAAAGCCTCCCTCATTCACCTTTACACCCCACCCATTAGCTTGCTATGTCCCTCTTACCTCCAAAATTTATATTGAATGTGTTATCCCTACCAGGACCATCCCAGTTTAAACTACTCTCTTCTCTCATCTGGATTAGCAGAGTCGTCTGCTTTGGCATCTCCCCGATTCTGCTCCGGCCCCATCTGATGTCGTCTCCACACAGCAGACTGAGTGATCTTTTGAAAATAAACTGGGTAACGTCTGCTGCTCAAAACTCTTCGGTGACTTCCTATAGACTGCAATGAAATCTAATAAAATCTGTCATGGCTTACAAGGCCAGGGGTAAGTTCCTCCAGACCAATGCTCAACTTGCCTTCTTGTTCACTGTGCTTTACACTTATCCTTTCCCTTCTTCCAGTGCTGCAGAAGGGGAGTGAGTTCACTCCTGCGGGGCATGACCATCCACAGTGATATAGGAAGAAGACAGTCTTAGGAGTTTCACTTTATTTTTCACCTCATCCTTTAACATTTCTATTTTTGAATGTCTTATAATGGAAATCATGAGTATAACAACACACATATATAATTTATAAGTAAATAAATATAAACATTGAGGATGCTTGCTCAGAATTTTTTTTCTGGTGGGATGTGGGATTTAAATTCGGAGGAGAATGCTCTAACATGCCAAGGCATTGCCTCGCTTTTCTTATTCTTTCTCTCTTTCTGTTTTTTGCTGTCAAGGCCTTTGTACAAAACATTCTCTTTGTCAGGAAAACTCATCAGATACCATCTCAGAGAAGCCTTCCTTGACCATCCAACAAATGCTTCTGTCCTTCATTACTTCCTTCGGCATTTTATATTTTTATAGTCTCTATCATGGTGGAGTTGCGTATTTGTTTACTTGTATATTGCTGTCTCCATCTGGGCAGGGCATTATTGCTTATGTCTGGTCCCTGCACGTTGCTTGGCCTGCTGCTGCAGGCATTCCTCCAAATATTTTTAACTGAATGAATGAACTTTGAGTCAGATGTACCATGACTTCACTGTGATCTTTTGTCTCTTCCATGTTACTGCTGATGTCATTCTCTTTACATGGAACCATTTTCCTCGTTCTTTAAAAACCTCAGACTTTGTATTTTAATGCCCATTATTCTCCCAGCTAGCTAGCTCCCTCTGCGCAAGGAGTATCTCAGACCTTTCTATCTGCACCCAAATGCCACCTTCAATCTGCCCTCTGAACCCCCTTGCCTCTAGTTTCCTATCGTGATTTGCATTTTCATGGAGTTTCCCCCTTAATCACTGGATTTACCCCGTGGCCTGGCTTCTTCGGATAGACTCTTATTCATATCTTCTTTTTTTTCTCTTTTCCTCACCTTTGCTTCTTAGATACTGCCTATCAGATGTTCCGAGCTCATAGCCCAGGAGCCCTTACCCCATTCTAGGCTTCTAAATTCCAAACCTAATTCCCATCTACTCCATTCCCATCTAGCTTGCTCTGAAAAGGAGGTTCAACAAAGCTAACCTCTCTCAAACACCGCGTTTCATACTGCTCTCCCATGAGGCTGGCCGATAACACTTGTCACTCATATCACATGTGTAGACTTAAATTTCTCATAAGAATTTGAATAGTTAACAGCTTATATATAAGAAGCCCATTCCTTATTTCCTTCCTTATACATTTATTTATTCAAGCACTGTATTAACAGTGTAACTCAAAACACTAGATCTAAGCCTTGGGAGCATCAGGAGGTTTCCTTTTGTTCTACCCAGAATTGGTGCTTTAGTTTTATTTATGCTTTGACACTCCTGCCAGTTACCCTGGGAACTGTCAAGTGTGTTTGTAGCAATGTGGACTGAAAACAAATCTCCAAATGTTAGCCAGATGGGGCACATTTTATTTCGGCAGCAAATTTAATTTTTTTTTGTTTTGTTTTGTTTCCATAATTGGCATAGTTTTGAGACCTCATTTCTATGGCATATGGAATTTCTCCATGCTTTGGGAACTGGAGCATGTGTGTCAATGAAGGAGATTTCTCTCTTAAATTCTAGTCTTTATGAATCCTCCAGACAACTTTGTCAGGTGTCTGGTCTTCCCATGGTCATAGCACCTCATTTTCTCAAGGGCAGGGCGCACATGTACTGGAATGGAATTATCAATTGTATCTCTAGTTACTCCACAGACGCCATTCTCCTCATTTATGAAATAAATCAGTGGATTTTCTACCTTCTTTCTAACATTCTTATTTTATAGTGAAAATTGATTATCTTAAAATGGAATTTTCTTTATTTAAGTAAGCTACTCATTTACATTTACTTAAATAAAGCAATATAACTAAAAGTGGTACTTACGTAATATTTTTTTCTTTCATTATAAAAGAAATACATACATAGAGAAAATTTAGAAAATGCTAGTTCCATCAACTAGAGCTTACCATTGCTAACATTTTGGTATATTTCCTTTCTGTTGTTTTAATGAGCAATCCTCTAAATAATCTTTATATAAATAATTTTCTATTCTGCGATGTGGTATTTAACTTAAGTATTGTTTCATGTCATTAAACATTTGTCATAAACATGATTAGGTTTAATACTCTTCCATATGAATAAATATATATATTATTTTAATTCTCCCATCTCTGGATATATCTCTATCTCTATATTTATATCTATATATCTATATATAATACTCTTATTCTCCCATCTTTAGACATTGAGGCTATTTACAAATCACTCCACAACACTTTTTTGGTATGTATATCTTAAGTTTTATACATATTTCAGATTATTTCTTTAGAACGGATTCCTAGAAGTGGAATCATTGTGTTAATGGAGAGGAATATTTTTAAGACCCTTGACTTGCATCGCTAAATTGTTTTTTAGAAATGTTGAAATAATTTACACTTCAAGTAGAAATGTGTGAGAGTGTCTAAATGCCCTTACTCTAGCCAGCACTGATTATTGTCTTTTAAAAAAATGAATTAAAGAGGGTCATATTATTTTAATTTCAACTTTTATATCTTGACTACTAATAAGGCTGAATACTTTTTCCGAAATTAGTCTCATTTGCTCATGTCCTTGGCCCATTGATTATTAATTTCCATGAACTTATAGTACCTTGGATATTAAACTTTGTCTTTTATGCTTGTTCCACGGATTTTTATTTTGTTATTACGTGGACAATTTTTGCTTTTTATAAACTTTTTTTTTATGTAGTCAAAACTCTCAATCCTCTACTCTTAGACATTACTTATAGGTTTAATTAAATTAAAAAAAGAAAAAGAAAATCACATACAAAGTATAATATAATAAATACCCATGTACTTGCTGGCCGAACTTATCAAATACTCCTATTTTGCTTCTGATTTTAAAAAAGAAATAAAGTTACAGATGAAATTAAGATCTTAATCTCCTTCCCAGGAATGCTTCCCTCCCTCCTTTCCCATTTCCTCGTTGTCCAGAGGTGATGCCATCCTGAATTTGGTGTGCTTCTAAATATGGTTTTATATTTTTATCACAAGTATATGTACTCATAAATAATGCATAGTACTGCCTAGTGTATTTTAAAAATTTATGCAAGCTATCATACTATTCACATCATACTCTTGTAACTTGCTTATTAAAACTCAATATTATGTTTTTCAAGATTTATCCCCTATTACTACATATAGGTCTAATGAATTCCCTTTCACTGACTGTACAGAATGACTGTATCATAATGTTTTTCTTCATTCTTCTACTGATGCCCTTTGCATTGATCCTGATTTTTTGATGCAAACAATGCTCAGTTAACACCTGTACATGTCTCTTTGTACAGGTATGTGAGTGTTTTACCTAGAAATGGAATCGCAAATTAATAAGGTATGATGAATTTATAATATAATCAGCTATTACCAGATTGCTCTTTAAAAAAGGTTGTAAAGGGAAATTTGTCTTAAACCTTGTCTAGGACAGAACATTTTTGTATGTTATAATACAAAACCTCCTCGTGAAAAGAAATGAGCTTTTCTGATAAAATGCTTAAGTTCCACTAAGAGAGAATGTAAATGTTCTCACAACGCAGAGATAAATATGTGTGGTAGTGAATCTGTTAATTAACTAGATAGGGGAATTCTTATCTAGGGACGCTTAGGCAGTTTTTAAAATTTTTACTTATTTATTTTTATTATTAGTTTCAAGTATACAATACATTGGTTAGACGTTTATATAGTTTATAAAATGATCCTCCTAATTGCTCTTTCTCTCCTCTGGCTCTCCATCTAGCCATTACGTTACTGTTAACTGCATTCCCTATGCAGTGCTCCCCATCCCTGTGACCATCTATCAACTACTAATTTGAACTTCTTTAATCCTTCACCCCTTTCTCCCAGGCCCCAAAGTCCCCTCCCCCCTGTAAGCATTTTTTAAATAAGCTTTAAGTGAAATTAAGACTTCTGGAAAGCTAATTACTCACCCATGTTGACTGTCAGCTAGCTGTCTAATTTAATATATTAAATACATGTATTTATATATTTTTTATATTTGAGTCTAATTTAATTATTATATATTTTTTTCTCAAATGCTTTTTCCTAAGCAGGTAAACCTGTTTTATTCTCATCTGTTGTGTATAAACATTCTCATTTTTTCATGGTTTTGCCAAAACTTGTAGTGTCATAATTCTTTATTCTTGACAGTCTGATTGTTGTAAAATGGTGCATTATTTTTAAAAATTTAAACCAATTATTTCAATGACTTTTAGTGAGTCTAAATATCTTACATTTTTTGGTCATTTGAATTTCCTGTTCATTGACTTTTCTGTTCATATTCTTTGCTGAGTTTTCTCATAGGTTGTTTGTCTCTTCCTTGCTGATTTGTAGGAGATTTTTGCATGTGTTATATATATTTCAAATACTTTCTCACAGTTTGTACTTGATTTTAACTTTGTTACGGTGTGTTTTGTCATACAAAAATTGGAAGTTTTTATGCAGTCAAATCTATTCATATTTTTTTCATGATTTCTATTCACTTATGTCTTAAGAAGTTCTTAGCCTAAAGTTGGTTATAAAGACAACTTTTGATATTTTCCTCTAGTTGTAAAGTTTCATTGATTACATTTAGACCTCTAATCTATCTGGACTTAATTTAGCTATATAGTGTCTGGGAGTTATCTAATTTTACCTTTAACAGTATGAGGAAAGTCACATGTCCCCATACTATTTAAAAATATTTTATTTTCTCCTCACTGATTTGAAATCCCCCCTTTTCATCAACCAAGCATCTATATATGCTTGAGGCTACCTCTGGACTCTTTATTCTTTACCATTAATTTATCCCTGTAGCAATAATTATGCTTTCATCTTATCATA